GGATCACACGGAATAAGATCAACGACCAGTTTTCTGTGATGATGTCTGACTATTTTTCGCATATAAAACGTACCGCTGCGGAGCCGTACAGTAGCCTGGATGAGATATGGCCAGTGCTGAATAGGTTGACGACCTCTACGGTTAAGGCTGAGAATGGGAAGCAATATGCTCCACTCTCGCTCGCTGGATTATCATGGCATTCGCAAGGCGGTAGTCGTCCTCTGTTTGTCGGCCGTACTCCGCGTACTTATCGGGTATTGTTTGTGTAGTGTATTAACTTCAGACGGTGAGGCAACGCCCGTACCCAGGGCGCTGTCGTGCTCAGAAAAGGAGGAGTGGCAGCAGGGCTGCTGCACACAACAAAAGGGGGCCCCGGTGCATCATCACCGTACCCCTACCTAAAAGGTTCTACACCATCTGCGTCACACTTGTACGTACGGCTAACATATCCAAACCATGTCCGTAGACCCACGAACATCCTCCAGGTCGTTCTGCGACGCCGTCGCAGCAGTCTTGGAGCTCCCAGGGAGCTCGTTGCAAATCGGTCATACGTGTTGTGGCAATTACCCCCCCATTGGATACCGCTCCTTAGGACTAGAGCCGACCGCGAACATAAGCGTTCAGCGAGGAATGCTGTTCGTTGTTTAAAATTTCGAGGTCTGTCAAACACTGTGAACAACCTTTCACCAACGCTAGTGGTGTGCTCAACCCAGATTTGGTGACTCCCTGATGGTGATGACAGGTTTCGCCTGTGGCACGAGCGCTTGCGGTCCTGGAGGACTAAGCCTGCGACTACCACAGCACAGAGCACACCAACCTCAAACGCTCAACAAAACAATCGATGCCGTTCACACCAGTTCATGGAGTACAACACGCAGGTACCGCTCCCAACCCGCAACAGCGCAGTCCGACGTGGCACCAACCGCCACCACAGGGGCTGCTGCAACCAAGTGCACCAGCCCAAGAGCACAGGTTGGTAGAATAGCAGCCTAGTTCCTGCTCCCACGTCTGCCACACACGCGCAGCCGAGTGTAAGAAGCAACAGTCGGCTCCCCGTAGACTCGAACCCATAAGACCGCACTCCTGGAACGTCTAATGCTGGTAACTGACGGCCCGACGGCGGCTTATCGTTACTCCCCGACCCGCCGATGGCACAACAGGGGGGAGCTAGATATGTGTCGCAGGAACGTATTGTAGGTACGGTAGAGTCACCACTCCTGTTCCTACCACAGACACTTCCGCTAGAAGCGGTAGTGCTTTGGCCTCATCGGGTGCAGATGGCAAAACCCACCATCCCGATCACGGCAGCTTTAGCGCTGTCGTCAGTACACACACCAAGATTTGGGACTCAAGGAGTGTCCTCTCTTGAAGGCGGTCCCCCGAGCGTAAATAATGCTCGAGCAGCTTGCACAACGCACGACTACACCACGTTGCCGCCCGCGAACCGGCCTAAACCATTGGGTGTTGACTAAACGAATGCACGGGTCGGTATGAGGTGCGGGTGCGGAAGGTCGGGATTGTCGAGCATGCCCTCTTGGTCCGCTTTGACGTCCTCGTGTAAGACCGTTGGGACACGCACGTTGTCGACAATAGATGAAGCATCGCCGGGTTTAGCCACCTCGAGCGATGGTTTGGACATGTCCTCTGCGTACGGTTCATCGACAGCCTAGGGTGCCAAAGCCGATGGAACTCGAGACGGTGATAACAGCCACTCGCCGCAAAGCAAGTGTATGACCGATTGCGCGCACGGAGACACAAGACGATTTCCCGTGGTCTGCGATTCGCGGAGTACCAAAGCTGAGCGGTCCCCAACCGCAACCACGGAGGTGCTGACAACACCGTATTCGGAGGACGCTCCGATTGCGCCCCTCGTTGAACAAACACGAAAAACTTGTCGCCCTCGTCCGGGGGGACCCGTCATGTCTCCAACGTGATGGATCCTAGCGAAAGCCGTACAGACAATACAGCTTCCGCCTGGTTGCGCTGTGTGTAGAGTAGAAGACTCGGGGCTACAGAAACCTCCCCCGCTATAGCTGGTATTCGTATCTACCCCCTCCTCCGACCGACGCCCGGTGTACACCGCCCGCGTTTGATCCGAGCAAGGAGTATTGTACGCCTGATATGGCGTTATTCTGGCAAGCCCCGTTGGTTTTCTCGCTCTGGAAGCCTTCCATCTTTATTGTGGATGGTGTTGAATACTCTTGCGGTGGCAATTCTTCGCGGCTGCTAAGGCTAGTCTAATTGGCGACCAAGATACTTTGCGGCGGATTATGCGTGTTTCCGACTTTTGAAACGCAGGCGTTACGGACGCCAAGTCAAAGGGTTTGACAAAGCAGTTTGGGAGCGCGAGCGCGAAAACGAGGTACGCTTCGCCTCCTACTGCAATTTCTCGCAAATCCCGCTATGCGACAACATCTTTTGGGCACCAGCGACAAACTGCTCGTCGAAGCTAGCCCATACGATGCCATTTGGGGCATTGGACATCGCGCAGATGACCCTGCGCAGTCTATCCCTGTTTGTGGCGAGGCTCCAGTCTGGCAAGTGCCTGCAGGTTGCCCGAGACCTCCTCCAAGAGCACGCGCCGACGCCAATACTTCCCCCACAAGTTTCAACCGACGCCTAACTCCGGAATACTATACATGAGGTTAACCCTGAAACGCAAGAGCGTATTTCGACGGCTGCAGCCGAGGAGGCCGCCCGGTCGTCAGGTTGCCGCATCAAATTAGCGCATGTCCCACGTGATCACAGCGCTGAAATCCTCGCGGTTACGTCGGCTGAGTATGATGAGGAGAGCCGTGTGCCGTTGCTTGCTGAGCATGGTCCTTGCCTCGTAGGTGGTGTTGTTGCAGTTAACGGCGCTTTATTTACGACCCGAGTAAAAATCTACGCCGGGCCGTCCAAATCACAAATACGGCTGTGCTGCTTCGCTGGATTCAGGCTGCTTTGCTGGATGCAGGATCACCGGCCACATTCATCAACGGTAGCGCTGTTGGCACCGTCAAAGCCATGGGAGCGATCTCATAGGCTTATCTCGCACGGTAAGCGCACGTTCTTGGAGAGGTTTTGGAAAATCCGAGTCTCTTCAGACGTCCGATACAGTCCATCTGAGTGTGCAATTTTCCACAGTGACACGCCTTCGGCTTCTCTTGCCGTTTGGGCACACATCGTCCCTGCAAACGCCGTTCATTTTCTCAATCGTTTTGGACGCGATGGTTCCATGCGATTTTAACACCCGGAAGTACCGCATGTTGCCTTCGAGGCCCCTGGACAACCCCTTTTTTTCTGAATATGCCCTTGCCCACCAGGACGATTCTGGTCAGGACGATTCTGTTGCGGTTGCGTATGTGCCCGATTTCACAGCCCCGGCCGACCAACTCCAGCTCCGCTGTGCAACGCCGACGGGTACCCATTGTCAGATGACCACCGATTGATTGAGGTCAAATTGGTGCGTTCCAACGGTAATCTGGCTCTGACCGGTCAATACCTTGTCGACATGTTACGTGATGTTTCGTCGAACGAAAAAATGTTTTTCTCCGACGGACGTCAGTTTGTGCCGCTCGCGGGTGCCTCAGAACTTGAGCGAGGAGACTTGCTCGGTATTGCTCCGCCCCGCTGATGCGCGTGGCGGTAGAGCATTTAGAACAACAGCAGTTTTTCGACAAAGCCGACTGCACGCCACCACCGAGAGACAGACTGGGGTCTCTCCGAGGTAGCGCTCGCCGGTGTGCTTCTTGGTGGAGGAACTCTCTGAGCCCTCCGGTTTGGGGTCTTTTAGGCGGGCGGGGCGGCACGAAGCCCAACAGCTGAGCTGTGCCATTCCGTTTCGCGGTCAAATTTCACACAGGATGTGTATCGTACCAGTTCTTCTGCACTGGTGGTACAAGCACGTTGTACCACATCGGACCACCCGACGGGTTATACTGTTGTCTCCCGAAGCAGTTATCGCACGATTTCGAATTGGGTGTTTTCTGAATGGTAGCGTACCATCGGGAGGTTCAATCGTCCGAGACTGCTACTGTACAACAGTTTCGTCCGTCTGGTGGTATTCGGAGGGAGATTTGTGTTTAGTAGCAGAGACACGTTAGGATACCGCGGAGGCATTTTGCCGTGCGGGACGTGTGGTACGGGGGAAGTCTCCCTCCGTAGGCCACCGAAAGTACTAATCAAGGAAATTCGAAAGAAAAACAATAAAAGGTCGAAAGTAAACTTGTTCTGGACGGCCGTATGCACCGGCTCTAAATAGTGCGATGATGGACACTTGTGACCGCAAGGCCAAGTGATCGGAGTACAATAGGGCGATGATGGACTCTTGTGGTGCAAGGCACAAGAGTCCGGAGCACATGTATCCCGATGATAGCCACTTGGGCATTTAAGCACAAGTGTCAGGAGGGGGGTTTGCGAAGGATAGATATAACCGTCCTTCGCAGAAATCATGGAACCAACGGCGCAATTGCCACTGGCCAACCAATCCTGCGCAATGATGAAATGGTTCCTCCGATGAGAGCTAGCACCTAGCTCTCAGTGACAATTGAGGCCGGAAACTCCGGAAACTGAGCACAAACCCTTTGTGAAGGAACCTGACCTGAGCGCTACTGATCTGCTATCGCAACTGTGAGTGATGACCCCGCCTGCCTGACTGGATCATGTGTTATCATCTGCCTGCTTGGCGTACTACTGCTTGCTCGCTTGTGTTGCACGGAACGCTTGGCCTATGTCTACAATCGAACTCGAGACTACTAGCTAGGATCTGCGCAGGTGAGAGTGTCTTTGCCCGGAATATCGTAGTCTAGCCCTGTCTATGTAAGAAACTACCATCGGCGCGTATCCACGTCCTGAACGTCATCCCCGCCTCGATACTCATTGTTGGGTTGCCGGCGTGGGTACACCACCATCGATAAAGTAAAAAGTTGTTGCCGCTTCGGCTTTGCCAGGCGCTCGTGCTGTTTATCCCCCTCTGACGTTTTTCTCTGGTCGACGAAGTGGGGTAATGGCTGCCATGCTCAAAGTGACGTTGGGGTGCGTTCCGCGTCGTCCATCCCAACCTCTATGGCCGAAGGGTCTGCCGCTCCCATTTCCTCGCCACCTTTGGGGTTGTTCTCGAGGAGGAAAGGAAACGTTGCTTTTTTGTCACGAACGTCGCACGGGGCGCAGCTCACATTTCCGCAGTGTGGGCACGTCGCAATGTACCTGGGGTCCGGGTGGAACAATACTTTCCCCGATTGACCACCGTTCTGTCCGGCGTCGGCCTCCGCCTTGGCCCGGAGCTTGTCGCACGAGCAAGTGGTGCGGTGCCCGAGCCCTTTCCGCTTAACCTCCATCTTCTTGTCGCAGGCCGGGCACTTGACCTTCGTCTTCCCTCGAACCATGAGGATAACGATACCGCAGCAACCGTTCGCGATCAAGAACCAGACCAAGCCCGCTGCCGCCACGGTGGCCGCAGCCCCGCCTAGGCCGAGCCATATAGCCTGCCGCTCGTACCACTCGTCTTCGTTCGGGGGTTGAGACGGGTCTTCTCCTTCCGAGGTGGGTGCCGGCGTTGGGGCAGATGGAGATGGGTCCGTGGTGATAGTGTCCCGAAACAAGGCGATCGTGCCATCCATTGAGCTGACCACAAGGGCCGTGCGGCCGTCGGGACTAACGGCAATGCTCCTGATATCGGTCAGGCCCCCGATGTGGCCCCCGTCTCCCTCAGCGATTGTGTCCTGATTGTGTTTAAAACAAAGTGCCGTCGGGTTATTAGAGGGAATCCACGTGTCGTGAGAATTTTGACGTTTGGCGGTTTATGACGTGAAAATCGGTTAGTGGAATTTCGACATGGATGTATTTAGTTGCGTCGCCTTTTTTTCCGTCGATTATTTGCGGTGTTTTTTTTTTCATCTTTCGTCAGAACACGAAAGCCCGCGAAAGGATTGACGCGTCAAGCCTCATGTCGGGACACATATACATTCCTCTACAAGCATCGCCGAAAAAGTAGCGTCGCCAGCAGCGAAGGCATCCACCTCCCCTGCTGAGTACTCCTGCGCGGTCCTGTACAGATTTTGGCGGCATCTCGCGACCTCGCGGCGGCCCGTTGTCCGGAGTCGCTGGTTCGAAAGTTGGCCAGCAGGGTTGGTTGGGGCAGATTCCGGGACACCCCGCCCTCGAAGGGAGGACAGCAGTAGAGGCGTTAGGGAGGGCACACGGACTTGGCCGGCCACCGTAGGTGCATCTCGCTCACCCCGCGGTTGGGGTTGACGCTGGGTCGCACCACACCCCAGGGAGCGTCGTCGCTGCTACGAGCTCGTGGTACTCTTCGAGTTGAATCAACAGGTCAACTGAGCTCAATAACGGCGAATAGTTCGTCATGTTCCAGACACAAACATGGCATGGCCATCGCGATAATAGAGAGGCACTCGTTGTACCTCTCATGGCGGATCTTTCCGCGTTCGAGGCGAGCCATGGCCTCCTCCGCTTGTACGCGTGTGTTTGCTGGTGGTTAGGAGCGTGGTAAGCTCATACATTGCGGCCGTTAGGAGGTTTATTTTTGGTTCCTGGTTCTTGCAACGGGTAAACATGCGGCGCGATCTAATTTCGCGGTAAATGCCAACCGTGACTTCTTTTCGCGTCAATGGTCGAAAGTCCGAATTCCCCGTCAATCCATAGTGGATACCCTGTATTACCTACATACCAGTAGTGCTTTTCTCGTATGGCATGTGCCAGAGGGCTGAAAAGAGGATACACACCGACATATCCTGAATTCTTTTTTCACCTGCGGTCCGATCCTTCCTCCAACGACAGGTACTACTGCAAGTACACTTGCTCTTGCCTTTGGAATCAGAGAGAGGCACTTGAACACGATCGTGTGAGAGCAACAAGGTTATCCATCGAATCTGCCAAGCGAAGATGGCGGCATGGGGGTTCATTTCGAACAAGTCGAACTTACCTGCAGCTCGAGAACCGCGCATTCATCGTCGCCAACGTTCAGCACCCAGAACGTATCGTTCGCGTTACTCGCCACCAAGACGCGGGAGTTATCCGGATTCACAGTCACCTGAGTGTGCGTGACAAGTGTGAGATGAGCTACAGGAATACGTCTGCCTTCCCTGGTAGTCGGAACGGTGTAATGAATACCGTGTTCGAGTCTCGCTTTCTCTATTCTATGTTAGCGACAAACAGGTTGGCGTAGATAGGGGGAGCGGTTTGAAGGGCAAACAAATGACAGTCCGAGTTGACTCAAGTGCAGTAGAACGCCCGAATTTGCCGCCTGTTTGAAAGGTCATGTTGCATACAGTGAGAATCGATGTACGCAGGCATTAGTTTGAGACCAAACATCTGTGACACCGACGTGGAGAGGCGGCGAGGCGTAGATACCCCGGCTTGAACTCGTCCGACCAACACCCCCACGAAAATACAAATATACACCGACGCCCAGCCCGATAGTTAGAACACAGACACGCCTTGCCTAATCGGGGCACCTTCCCAATTCTGGCGTGTCCATGTTTTTGGACGTTAGCCGCACAGAAACTGCGCGACGGCAGAAGTAGCAAACGACCTGCTGCTGAGCTCGACCCTACTCACCAACGACGCCCCATCTAGGCCAAGCTGGGTCGGGGTCGTCGCTCCTTCCAACTCAACCTCCTGCAGTTCCCCGGTGCTTTCGTCCACGCAAAAGTGCGTCAAGGCTCCCGGGTTGGACGAAGCCACGTACACGTCCCTCCCAGAAGGGCTGACAGCAACGGAGGTGGCACCCCCTAGCTCTCTGTGAGGCATAGACGCGATCGTCGGAAAAAATGTATGTGGCCTGGCTTCCTTTCGTACCTTTTGCATGATGTACGGTTGGTTGCCAAGTGCTGTTGTGGTATGTGCTACTACGGGAGCCTCGTAGAGAAGAAACGCCAGAATATGTTGGCAGCAAGTGCGCAACGGCAACTGCTAGCGAGATGAACCTCTTCAATCCGAAAGAGCCCCAAGCACGGCAACAGCAAAGCCTATCCTCTGCAACATATTAGAATACTGTTCGACTACTCAAGTATATTACGTTTGGTCTTTTGTAACGGGCCACAGATGTCCACGGTTTGTTCTCCCAAGAACGAACACTCACCCTTCACTGTCGGAAATCGTCTGCAGCAGCGCCAGATCCCCAGTTTGTGGGTCTCTGCTAAACAACATGAGCGCACCACCAGAAGCCACCGAGTCCGTCCCGTACAGGAACAGTCCATCGGGCGAGACCGCCATTCCCGTCGGAGAGACGAGAGACTCGGTCACGTTGGAAACGTACGTCAACCCACAAGTCTCAAGGTCTGCAGCAAACGTGATGATGCACCCGCACGCTGGCGACGAAACGTACACGTGGTCTCCGAGCAGAGGGCTGGCAACCACGTCCCAGGCTTCAGCCAGCGCCGCGCCGGACACCGTACCCGCGTAGGTCAGGTTTCCCGATCCCGCGCCGTCGATGCTCAGGCTCGTGAGCGAGTTGTTGCCCGCGGCCACCACGAAGAGGCACCGCCCGTCAGGGGAGGGTGTTAGGACAGTGGGCCCGTCGAGAGTCCCCGCCCCCGTCCCGCCGGTATTCATGTCAAAGTCGCCGACCATCGTCAAGCTGCCGTCGGAAGAGTCTACCTCGAATGCAACGATGCTGTCGCTCTCCTTCCCCGTCAAATACACGTGTGTGCCATCCGGGGTATATACAGCCTCCCACGCCCCGTCTGTGGCGTCCATGACCTCCACGAACAACACATCCGGGGCGATTGCCGTCGGCTGCGGGGAGGGCCCCGGAGTTGGGCTAGGTGCCGTCGGCTGCAGGGAGGGCCCCGGAGTTGGGCTAGGTATTCCTCCTTCTGCGTTAACCCGGTTGACGGTCAAGCATTTGAATAAGGACTATGACAAGAACGGGCAAATATATTTTTCGAAAGTCACACGCAATGTGCGAAAAAGCATCGTTCAAGAATGTGCTTCATGTTTATTACAGTGCCCTATGGTCAATTGCGCTCGATCAGAGCTCATCGGTTGACATGCCGGCAAGTCGTGGTATTGTGGGGACGTGCTCCGGAGCATGGGGCACGGGAATCAGGAGCAGCGGCAGCGGTGGCTCTGACAGCCGTGGCAGGCCGCCGAGGGGACAAATTGATAGACATGCTCGAATCGGACTCAGCAGCAACAGCTGCTCCCCATAAAGAAACATTACTCACGCGTTTGACGGAACAAAGTAACAACACACTTCTTGCTTGTCAAACCAGACAAACTCAGGTTCGCTGGTAAACCCCGCAGCGGGCACGTAAAAACCGCGGCAGGACCAAATAGGGGCAAAAACCCCACGCATTCCTAACCTCACTGCTGCAAGAAGCACTTACATTGGAACAACGATATAGTAAGTCGACCGAAGACTACGAACGAACGGAAAGCAAAGATTGTCGGTCGGGTGCGGTGTCATGTAGAAGTGGCACCGTTGAGATGTCACGAGGAACGGGGGAAGAAAGTCTGAACCAGCCACATGCATGATATCCCGAAACGCCCAACGCCATTCAAAACACTTTTCTTGGTCCCCAAACAGACGGAGCGATCGGTTCGCCGTATCGCATCCCAGCGGGAAAGTCATGACCAATCGTCAAAGACGCACGGTGCGCGATGTACAGCAATACCGCCGGAAATTACCAAACATCCAAACAACACCAAGGCAAACGAATGCAGAGAGATGTGTATCATTGGAAATTCTAGTCCGGTCGTGCAAACATCAGTTTCAGTTTCAGTTTCTTCGGCATCACTTACCGCACATTTCGACGCCCGGATCGAGCTGAAGCTCAACCGTGGCTACCGCGCTATTCCTGGTAGTTGGAGGTGGAGAGGGAACGTCAGGGTTGCTCGACTGTATCAAACTCTTCCCTACCTCGATGGACACCTAAACCAACGAGAGGATGGATGCCCCTGGAAGCACTGCCTCGCAACCTTTCCATTGAAGGGTGCGAGCATGATGAAACAGTGTACCAATGGGAAGAAAACGCGTGTCCTCTGCCATGGAAAACTCTGCCTTCGTCCCCTGGCTCATGATATCGTCGGAGCAGCGAAAAAGGTAGCGAATGAGGGCTTCTGAACACGAGAGGCTTCTAGTGGCCGGAACACGGCCTCACTCAGCGCAATGCGATCGATGCCTTGGGATGTGTAAGCGTTCGCTGCGGTTAGATCTCATAGAGCAGTACTCGAACGACGGTGATATCGACAACGGAACCGTGCAACGCCCCGCAAGCGTTCCAACCAACACGGAGATGAAGTCCGCGCTAGATAAGGCGAACGCATAATAAGTTGACGAAGCAGTGAGTCGGCACTCACATGGGAGGGAAGCACGTCAAGTTTTCGTTTCCGGTCGCGACCCTGGTAAGAAGCAGTAGGAGTGTGGAAATAGGGTATGGTTCACGCACGGCTGTTCTCGGCGATGGCAGGTTTGGCTGCGACGAAGTGCCATGCCAACGGCAATGCCCTAACCGGTGTGATGTCTGTATTGGGTCTTGCGGGTCTATTTTTGGTGTTACAGTTGAGCGAGATGCTGCTCATGACTCATGCAACGCAGGAGCCCAAATATCTGACTTCACGCGCGGCGTGTATCAACTTCTTTCCAAGATACGTAGACTACGCGTACATAGCAAAAGAAACTACGTGCATGCGCGACATGGTAAGGGTCTCACATCTCTTCGATGGGGAGGCCGTCGAAAATGTTGTTCTCCAGGAAGAGTAGCCCGTTGTCATCAATATACCTATATAGATCACCATGACCCGTAACGACAGCAACAATTGTGACTACAGGTTTGTGGTGGTGTTGCTTTGTTCATCTCGGTTGAGTGATTACATAATGCGTTTTTCCCGTCCCGCGGGTTACGCGTGCATCATCGAAGACTCATTCACTCACACGGAAGCGCGGGGATCAGCGAAAGTGAGCGACTCTCTTGTCTTGCGACGCGATTCAATGTCACAACACACGACAGACATGGACGGCATGAGTAGCGATGATTTTATTGCGACCAAAACCGTTGCGAATCGTGCGCGAGTAAGGACAGCACCACACCAGTCATTGGCGGAGGGGGTTGGTGCGAACGGCACCAAGGCATGAGAAAGTCGTCACCGCAGGCCAAGGCAATAATGTACGTGCAACACCACAGGTTGGAGAGGGTTAAGAAGGTCTAGGCGTGGGACGATACACTGGCTGTGTTGTAGAAAGAGGGGTGTTGTCGAGCAGACCGAAAGGGCGCCTTTCGATGGCGTAGTTGTCGAGGTACTTTAATGGGTCCCCAACAGCCACGATGGAGTTGGTGCGCGGCATAGAGGGGTATGTAGGGGAGGTCCATCGCAAGCAGAAGATTTGGCTGGGAGAACTCCTTGCGAGGTGAACGATCTGCCGGATTGTGTGATTCCCAAGGTGCCGCATCACCCGGTGACATGTCGACCGTTGTCTGTCGTTCCGGCCTGTGAAAGCATTTACTCACATTACTGCAAGGTTGTCGAGGCCCTCGAGGAGTTCACCCGGGATGATCTCGAGGCTGTTGTTCGAAAGGACCCTGGTTGCGACGTCAAATAAAGGTTGGTCAAAAGGGCATGGCAGTGATGGGTGGAGCATTTGCATGCACAAGTCCAACTCCAAGATGGTACAACAAAGCATTGGAACGTGCACAGTTTGTCCCGACGAGTATGCAGCATCCGCAGCTCTATTGTAGCGCCACGTCAAGAACACCAATCTGTGGGCGATATCATGTCATTAACGATGTCTGACACGGTTCGTCAGCCTGAGCGACGAGGAGCTGGTAGAAACGGAGCAGCCAACCCACAGTAGCTAGTAGTTGTTGGACCCGGTGGCATATTGCCAAACTGACTGACTACTCACAAGTGTGTGATGCTTTCTCGTCCAAATGTGTCCAAACAAGGCGAGATATCGCCGAGATCAGCATCTGTCAGTTCGCAACCACTGAAATCCCTGTAACCGAGCAGTAGCAGCAGATGCGTGAGCGGATCAGTCGTGCAAGCCGCGTAGACAAGACAGTTTCTGAAAACGGCCGCCAACACACGCGCCATATCGCGGTACGATGTACGTTCTTGTGATAGCCACCGTTGGCAACAATTTAGCGTTGCCGAACATGCTATGGTTTGAAGTGATTTGCTGCGTACAATGTCTCAGGGCTACGGACTCAGGTGTTGGGCTTTGTCTTTGGGTAATCGTTGTCCACGATGTAGATGACATGCTGCATTCATTGTGCCGAGTAAAGAAGCAGGTACCATCGCAATCCTTCCCAACAAAGTGGATACCGACCCGAACTCACAGTTCGCTTGAACCCGAAACCGAGGTGCATCGCCCGTCAATCAAACAGTCGTTGGTCGAATCTTCACGGAGGTACGCCGCCGCAAAAAACACAGGCACGAACAGTAGATAAGGGTCGTGGGCATTTAAACAGATCTTGGCAGGGTCGAAAATCCACCTCGAACGAAAAAAGACAGACTACGCAACCCTAGCTTTGTCGGCACTGGGAGACCCACGACTGCCTCAATGGTATTTCCGGTTGTTGCCACCAAAAGCGGCGGCGATCACCATAACGTAGCAAGCCATAAAGTGCGGGTATGTAGTCATTGCACTTTGGCTCTCCCGTGGCACCTGCCGGCTGGCCAGTTGTAACTGTGGCAGCAAGTTTTGTAGGACTCGTTCTACAAGGATTGACGACGGGGGTTGAGCATCCAGGTCATCTCTTCAGCGGTTAGCTGGGGGCGTAATAGGCCAACAACGATACTGCAAGCCAACTTACGATCGCCATACGGCGCTGCCGACGACAATCAGAAACACCCCCACCTGCTGCTATGCATGATCTCCCGACCCGTCCAACTCCCCACGGTATACCTACGTAGTACGTGGCACGGTGGGATCTATTCCGGTTTCGTTTTAGGCTATACCCCAAGTTTCGGACTGGGGTCGGATTGCCGCCCCATGTTCGCCGCTTTCGTGAACGAAATGGGAAATAGTACTTGCAATACTTGAAGGCGTCTGCCCACACAAACAGCAACGAAACATACCACTCCGAAGAATACTGACGAAGTCGAGATCGAAGGGCCCCTGAATCATGCAGATCCAGATGAATTGCTCTCCAGTTTCCAAATCGGCTATTTGGTCGCTGAAACGGCAACGGCCGGGAAGGGGCGGGGTTCGGCGGGAAAGGGGAAAACGAGAAACAGAAAGAGGAGCTACAAGAGCTCTTTTTCTCAGGCTTCCGGCACGACACGACACCACCGGACGACGAGCAACCACACCCATTTTACTCCCATGGCCTTTTGGCGAAGACGTTGAGCGTGCGTCGGTGTTCTATGTAGTATGCCACCTACGCGCTGTCGACAGGCGACCGAATGGAGGAACACAAGAGGCACAATTTCGCTGAGGAGGAAAGAAAAATAAACAACGCGGCAAGAATTCTGCCGCGGATCTTCGAAAAAAAGTGAAGCGGCTATGAATTCCAACTACATAGTGGGCGTCGCCGGCAGGCTCACACAAATACGCTGACGAAGGAATCCCAGCCTCCTGAGTTTGTAACTTCGACTACTCCGAAGAGATCGGTGTACGAACCGTCCGCGCACGGGTCGGTTTCATTTGCGGGGTCCCTGACGACTCGAAACGATGCTCCAGGGAAATCTTGACCAAGGGCAACCCTGAACTCAAAGTTGCCTCCAGAGACTTGTTGCGGAGGAGTGACAGGGAGGACGGTGGGGTGCAGAATGGGGCGGGTTACATACGTCTGTTGTACATGTGTGCACGGACGGCCATGAACTTTGTATGTCGTTATGGTGGTGGGAACGACGGCATTGAGACGTAAAACATCCATTTCTGTCTACCAATGAACCTTGCGGCATGCGCAAGCTGAACAGACCAAGCCGGAATATTGCGGTGGGGACAATGACGAGGGACCTCTTGCCGTCGTTGCGGCGAAGAACTCTCCGCATGTGTACAAACGTAGCAAGCAACAGGATCGCTGGTCCAGGTCGACGAGTACGTTTTCTGTTCGACTGAAGCACCCTTCGTGTTTTCAATCTCACCTATGTACGTAACGTCGACCGTGTAACGTAGCCATTCTCCATCGGCGATGAATCAGACATTGACTACTTCTTCTCCGTCTACGAGAACCGTGTTGATGTCAACGCTTTCGTTGGCGCGAAATACCTGCCATTTTGTCGGCCATAGAAAAGGTGGTACGGGTGACGGATCAGACTCTGGGAGAAGTCGTTTTCATCAGACCTCGACCCTGCAACGTTTCGTGCCCCGTCTTCCCTGTGGCGTTAGACTCCGTCAAGTGCCGAACAGCAGGCGTCGGTGCATACAGTACCGTAAAACGGGCCAAGCTCGTCTCCGCACACGACACACTATGTGCTTGTCACGGGTCGTGTGAAACAGCTGCCGATCGCTATTCGTTGTACATACATACCCTACAGCCACCCCTTTCCACGCCGTGTACAGTGAGTGCCACAACAAGCGTTGTGTCGGGTACTGCGACGTCGTGGGTGCCATTGTGGCTCGAACACCTACATTTCGATGAACCACTCTCCTCTTTCCAGAATCGAATCGTGTCTGTGATCCTATCTTTTTACTTCTATGTGTCGCCGCTCTTCACCGGTTCGCCGTCAAGGAAATTGCCTTCGTTGGCAGCTGTTTCGTCATTGTAAGCAACGCCCTGGCCGCCGTAGTCGTAGTTCTCCAACTCGATTTTTCCGGGGAGGACGGCCGCAGTCCCTTCATAGGGGCCAGCTGTTTTATTTGCA